TTCAAATCGTCCAGTTGCTCTATTGGAGAAAATGAGACCATCTGTTCCCATAAATAAGGAGCTCTGGTAGCGTAGTGGTTACGAATCGGGCTGCGAACCTCAGGGTCAGCAGTTCGAAACTACCAGCGCTTGGGCAGGACAAAGATGATGAGGTTTTCTGCTCCCGTAAAGATTTGCAGCCTTGGAAACCCTGTACAGGGTCGGTATGAGTTGAAACCGACTCCACGGCACATAACAACAACAACAACAGCTTCCATAAATATATATTTTTGAGGTTTTATTGTGAATTGAGTGACAGTTTACATGGGATAACGTCAGTTTCACATTCATCCTAACATATTTAATTTCATTGCAATGATTACAATCCTCTCCATGCATCATCATTCAACAGCATTTGCTTCTATTCCCTCTGGTGTTTTGTTTTGTTTTATTTTGATGTACACAAAAACACTCAGGAATATATAATCATTTAAACAACCCAAGGGCACATTCTACAAGTCTGCTTCCTGGCCACCAGCATACAGCCTTTCTCTTTCCATGAGTATAGAGTCCTCAGCTTCTGTATTTTTCCATGTCATCATCTCTGCCTCAATCTCTGGTGTTGCTACTTCTCTAGATAGAATCCCACATTCCACTGATGCTCTTCTTCCTTGATGGTCCTAGGGGCCTCTGTTCCTGGAATGTTGAATTAACTGCTCCCCCCTTTATGTTATAAAACTTTTACATTTACAGTTGTGACAATTGCAATTAATCATAATAAAAAGTACTCACTATTGAATCATAAAAATCTTATAACCATCTCTTTTCACCAGACCTATCTAGAGTAGATGAAAACGATTCAGTGAAGATTCTACTTTACCCCAACACACTCTGAAACTGAACTCCTTCTTGAAAACCCATAAGCCCACTACTTGGTACCTTTACAACCCTCCCTCCCCCATTTTAGGTAGCCAACGTTCATGTTGTCTGTCTCTATCAACCCTGTGTACAAAGGGAATAGGATTGATCCTTTATGTGAAGACTCTTTCCCTCTTGGTTGGTGTTTTGAGCTACTTATATTTATAAGGATAGGTCAAGTTCGTCAAATCGTAACAATTAACACTTTTCTCCTTTATCAAATTTCTTTATTTTCCTCTAGTTGAGTTCTGATCATCAAGCCATTGAAGCTAGGTCAAATCTGAAAATTTGGACATTCTTGTGCATCTCCCCTAACTTCATTATCAGCTGGATACTTCACTTTCAACTCTAGCCCTCTATGGCTAGGTCCTTGTCTATGGGCTTAGGGGTTCCTGGGTCTCACCACACGTCTGACCAACCAGCCCTTCTTCTTCTCTCTCTCTTCTCCAGGTCATTGGGAGTCTAGCCCATAAAGATTTACAGTCTCAGAAACTCTATGGAGTAATTCTTTTCTGTCCTTTATGATCACTATGAGTCTGAATTAACTCAACAGCCATGGTTTTGGCCTTTGGTATCACTACATATTGAAATGTACTTGGCAGTAAAGGTTAATTTATGAGTGTGTAAAGTGTGCAGTCACACAGAATTTTGCTCAGAAGGAGTCTGCTCTTTCTTTAATGATCTGCTGCCTCTGTCTTGAAATTGTTAATGATTTTATCTTTGAACTTGTGTTTTTCAAATGAAGTCTAATGGGAAAATAGAGCATGAATGTGAGCAGAGGAGCTATGAAAAATTTCAATGTCCACATTCATTATCGGTCCATTCACCCATAGCATTTGTGTTGCCTTTTGCACACAGAATTTCAGTGTGTAAGAGTTTACTGAAAATCTAAGAGACAATGTAAATATGCTTATTCTATGACTGAGTAAATAATTTGCTTTGTTCAGTGCAGGAAAAAAGAAAAGGCAATAGCATTTTTAGAAGCTTAAATGACCAAGGAACTCTGTTACATCTTTTTTTGCTCATGTTACTTTCATGTACTCTTGTTATTGTTGTTAAGTGCCATCAAGTCGGTTTTGATTCACAGCAACCCTGTATAGGGTTTCCAAGGAGCAACTTGTGAGTTTAAACTGCAGACCTTGAGGTTCAAACCAACTTTGCAGTCCAACCCATTAGCCACAGAGCCACACCAGGACAATTATCCTGAAAATGAGGGAATAGAAGGAAGGGAAAAGATAGGACCACAATTCTTTTTCCTTTTTGTCTTTCCTTACTCGTCAGTAAGCTGAAGGTAGAAAGTATTGATACAATTTGCACATATCAGCAAGTGAAATCTAAACAGTGGAATTTGTTTTGCATAGTATTCCAATGGTTCTTGCAAAATTGAAATGCATATGTATATATAAGTTATGAAGTAGGATTTGCATAATTTCAGTGACTTTGTATGAGTTAGATGTTCTTACATTTACAATAAAAGAAATGCATATGGCACAATATAAAAATAAATGGTAAAATTAATACAAATAATTTAAATTCTTATTTTCTTTCCTTGTTGCTGTTAAGTGCCATCTAGTCGCTTCCAACTCATTGTGACCCCCTGTATAGGGTTTCCAAGAAGTGGCTGGTTGAGTTTGAACCACCAAGCTGGTGGTCCAGTGATTACCCTATGGTGCCACACATTAAATAGAAATTAAACACCATCACAAGTCATGAGAGAAACCAGAAAAAAAGGTCTATATTTTAGTACTGAACTTCAATAGCATTTTATTTTATTAAGGATTTTCTTGCCAATGATGTATCAATTCCTGCTAATAGTTGAAAAAGGGTAAATTCACAAGAGATTTTAAACCTTTTCTGAATGAGAGTAGATTATTGTTGTACTGCTCCTTAAATTGTTGTTAAGTGCCATCGAGTTGATTCCGACCCATAGTGACCCTGTATAGAGTTTCCAAGGAGCGACTGATGAGCTTGAACCACTGTCCTTGCGATTCAAACGACTTTGCAGTCTGGCACATTAACCCACAGCGCCACACCAGGAAATCTTACTCCCTTGGGTAAGTCTTTCTAGTTATAGAAAGCTATAATTTAGATTGACTTGAGGGGGATAGTCATTCCTTATTACACTTAGTCAATATGCTCCTGCAGTTGAAATGTCTGAGAATTTTCTTTCACATAGCAGTTAATCCTTATTGCTTTATGCGTAGAACAGGTTTTTAAGTCGTCCTTGAGACTGAATACTGAATATTAATGATATTTTTTATAATAAAATATTTGAAGGTTGTACCATCAGCTTTGGAGTAGGCAGATTGCCCTGCTTTATAGGCCTGGTTCTGCTAGGGTCACTAACCTTAGGCAACTAGATGTTCCTAAGTCTGTTTTCTTAACAATAATATGTAGACATGAAAGGATTAAGGTTAATTTTTGTGTAAAAGTAGACATATATTAGGCACTGGTGCAGCACTGTGGGTTCATGTGCTGGACTACAAAGTGCAAAGTCAGTTTGAACCATGAGGTCAATGGTTCAAGCTCACCAGTTGCTCCACAAAAACCTTATACAGGATCACTTTGGGTTGGAACCAGCTCGACAGCACTTAACAACAACAATAGCATTGAGATAACTGTGATTATCAAATTAGAAAAGTGACGGTCCTGGGAGAATAGTGGCAATTTCAACAGAAAGTGTGGAAATGTGTCTATGCGTACTGTCCCTGGTAGTGTAGAGAGTTAAGCAATGGGCTCTTAACCACAGGGTCATCAGTTTGAATCTACCATCTAGTTTGAATCCATCACCCACTCTGTGGAGAAAGAGGTTTCTGCTCCTCTAAATACTTACAGCCTTGCAAACCCTACTTAGAATCACTTTGAGTTGGAACCAACTCATAGCAGTGGGTTGGGTCTCTGCATGGCTTTTCAGGTATTTAACAACACTAGCTTCCCTCAGTAAAAAATTAACAACAACAAAAAAAAGAGGTAAAATATTAAAATACATCTCAGGAAATCATTTTGCTCTTTTAGTTATAAATTCATATTCAACTGATCACATATTTCTTGAAAGCCTCCAACTCTGTGAAACCTACTACTGACTGAGTGGTTTCACATTAGTACCATGTAACAATATGGTGGAACAAATATTAACATCCTTGGTTTGGGGATGACCAGTTAAGAATCCAGATTCTTCCACATATGGCATTTAGGAAAGTACAGTCTTGCTGATGGTGAGAGATCCAGTATACAAAACCACATAACAATTTCACCTCTGACCAAGAGAAAATCTCCAAATTGCGCAATTTACTGGAAGATTCAGAAATACTGCAAAGTGTGAATTCAGAGCTCTATGCATGTAAACTCATATAGTGGGGCCTATTCATGGATTTATACAGTTTGTATGCAAATACATTTAACAGACACTCAAAAATGTCTTTATAATTACAGAGCTCCAAATGCAGTGCACAGCATCTAAGAACTAGCCTGAGAATACAGGGGCTAATTAGCATTTAGGATATAAAATGGCACAAGGCCCCTGAGAATCTAATTCATTCCCCCTAAAATATGCAGTAGTGAGAGTCTAGAAGTTAAAGCATCCTTAGCTTTCACATTTTGTCTATACCGCTAGATATTTGCCAACATGCCTTACACAATCAGACATATTTTTAAAGCTTATAAATGCTACTAATTAAAAATGATACAAGCAAGTTGACAGAGCAGCCTCAGTAGCAGGGGATTAGTAGAAATTGGTTGTCAAAAATACCACACTAATCAGGACACTTTGATGTGTCTTTTTTTCACTGTTCTATCTAGTATATTTAGAAGTGAATTCACTTACTGTTTCTGTTTTTGTAAAGAATTACCCTTTTATGTTAAAAAAAATAGAACAGTGATCTGATCTGAAAGCCTTTACTCAATTCACAACAAAGTTATAGAGAAACTTAATTTACAAAAATAATACAAAAGAAAAGAAAGGGTGTGGACATTCGTTTTGACTATTTTATTGTGATGTGCCCTAGTAATATGTAAGTAGAGACTGTTAGTTGCTATCTGACATACCAAACGTATATAAACAGTGAAGCAGGTTCAAGACTCTCACCTGCTTTGGAAAACAGAGGAACACGGCGATAACCTGCAAAAGGAATTGTATCTAATTAGAATAACAGAAATAAATTAGTGACTGCTGAAAAAAATAGTACTGCTGAAAACAAACAAATGTATTTACTAAGCATACATGAAAATCACAACTGGGTACTTATAGCTCCATCTTGTATGTTAGTTTTCCACAAAGATAAAGTATTTGCAATTTCTGTCTAGCTTCTTCCTTCTGTCTAACAAACTCACACCTCACCTTTCTCAAAGTATAAAGTATTCCAAAATAAACCACCACTCCTCTGGTTCAGAAAGACCCCATTTCCTAGATGCATCTGGCTGGTGTTAGACAAGTAAACACATTGGGATCCTAGAATACAGTCAACACATTGGGAGATTAGAATAAAGCATCTAAGCAAGGGAAATCTACAACATGAAACCATCGTTGAGGAAAGGACAGTCTTAGGATTCTATTATTTTTTTCTTCATGCAGGTAGAATACTTCACCTTTTCTCTTTCATTACTACTCTTCACTGAAACAAAAGAGCTCTGCTCTCTGTAAAGAAATGCTTCATCCTGCTGAATGTGTTAGTCTTCCTGGCAATCCCCTGTACCCTCATCATCTTCCACATTAGACCACATTTCTATCATTTCTTTGAGAGAAAATATGTTTCAGTTCACAAAAATTTGTTTTGTATTCACTTTTCATGGCTGGAGCTACGTGGTACATTAAAGTGTGACTATGGCACACACATTATATTAAATGTTAACATAGTAACCTTACTTTAAGGACTATTACCTTTGTTCAGGCATAGAACTGGTAAAGTATATTGTCCAAGAAATTCATTTCCACCTATTAGACTTTGATTTTCAACAACAAAACGTAGTAATGCCAATTCTGGTACATGAATAATAAATGTGAAGGTTTCATTCCATCTTGGACTAAAAGCTGGAATAAAAAAGAATGGGTATAAAGAATCATAGTTCCTATCTCTAGGCATTTTTTTCTCCATTTTTCCCACATTTTATTAATAATAATGGTAGTTTGTATTTTAGAGTGCTTACATTTTAAATGCACTAAATGAGAGAATAAAAAAGATAATATTCATTTTTTATTAGATGTCTGCTCTTAGTGGGGAGTCCTGATGTGGGACTATAGGATAAGTAATGAACTGCTGACCATAAGATTGGCAGTTCAAACCCATCAACTGCTCCTCAGAAACCCTATACAGGGTTACTATGAGTCTGAACGGACTCAATGGCACTTAGCAACAACAACAACATGGCTGGGCAGTATTCTAAGAATTGCATGTAGATGATATAATTTAACGTCACAACAGTCCCATCTAAAATGAGGAAATGGAATCAAGTAATGATGTTACATAATTTCCTAAGTGTTTCAAATACATAGCCATTAAATGGTGAAACAGGTTTAAGAATCAGTTCTTATAGACACAACAAAATATCTTCAGGAAATTCTTTAAATGATTTATGTCTTCTGCTCTCTATTTTAGAGTCCTGGTGTGGCACTGTGGGATAAGCACTGAACTACTAACTGCAAGATCAGTAGTTCAAACCCACAAGCTGCTCCTTGGAAACCCTATATGGTGTTGCTATAAGTCAGAACTGACTCACTTAACAACAACTAACAACAACCCTCTATTTCACTACTTTCTGCTTCTCTTTCTCTCTCACCCCTACACACACATATACCCACACACAGAGGCACACACACACACACACACACAATGTTGTATTAAAGAAAGAAGAAACTCTAATTTTCAATTATCAAAATAAAATGAATAACATGAAGGAGCTATACAGTGAAAACTAGCAAGCACCGTTGAAAGAGATTAAATATTTAAATAAATGAATATATGTTCTGTGTTCATAGATTGGAAGACTTAATATGGTAAAGATGTCGATACTACCAAATCAAAACAGTCTGGTATGACAATAGACACATAGACCAATAGAATAATATTGAGAGTTCAGAAATGAGCCCACACATGTATGGTCAATTGATTTTTGACAAGGTTGTTAAGTCCATTCTATGGGAAAAGAAGAGTCTTTTTAATAGATGATGCTTTAAAAATGGAATTTCCAAACAGAAAAAAAAAAAGAAACAGGATCCCTACTACTCACCATTCATAGAAACAAATTCAAGATGGATTAAGGACCTAAATGTACCAATTAAAACCATAAAACTCTTAGAACAACAACCAGGGACAATGTTGTCAGTGAATAATCTAAAATAATTGCAAAAAGACAAAATAAATAAATGGAGCCAAAAAAATACTCATACTGCACAATGTCATGATCCGTACAATCAAAAGCCTTAGTGTAGTCAAGGTAAACATCTTTCTGGTATTCTCTGCTTTCAGTCAAGATCTATCTGACTTTAGTAATGATATCCCTCATTCCACGTCCTCAACGTCTTCATCTGAATATGGCTTGAACCTCTGGAAGTTCTCTGTCATTGTATGCTTGCAACCATATCTGTATTACCTTGAGTAAAATTTTACTCGCATGGGATATTAAAGAGATTGTCCCATGATTTCTGAATTCCATTGGGTCACTTCTCTTTGGAATGGGCATAAATATGAATCTCTTCCAATCAGTTAGCCAGGTAGTTGTCTTCCAAATTTCTTGGCACAGATTTTTTCATTTCAAATACCTTTTTTTAAACAGCATAAAAGATGACTATACACATGGACCTCACCAGGAGGAATACACAGAAATCAAATTGACTACATCTGCAGAAAGAGACGATGGAAAAGCTCCATATCATCAGTCAAAACAAGGCCAGGGGCAGATTGTGGGACAAACCATCAAATGCTAATATGCAAATTCAGACTGAAGCTGAAGAAAATGAAAACAATTCCACGAGAGCCAAAATATAACCTTGAATATATCTCACCTGAATTTAGAGATCATCTGAAAAACAGATTTGATACATTAGACATTAAAGACTGAAGACCAAAAGAGTTGTGGGATGACATCAAGAACATCATACATGAAGAAAGCAAAAAGTCATTAAGAAGACAAGAAAGAAGGAAAAGATAAAAATGGATGTCAGAAGAGACTCTGAAACTTGCTCTCCAGCATAGAGATGCTAAAGCAAATGGAAGAAATGAGGCCGTACAAGAGCTGAGCAGAAAATTTCAAAGGTCAACTCAAAAAGACAAAGTCAAATATTACATCAAAATGTGCAAAGATCTGGAGCAGACAACCAAAAGGGAAGAATATGCTCAGCATTTCTCAAGTTGAGGGAACTGAAGATAAAATTCAAGCCTCGGCTTTCCTTTTGAAGGATTCTCTAGGCAAATTATTGAATGATGCAGAAAGCATCAAAAGAAGATGGAATACATAGATAGAGTCACTGTACCAAAAAGGAAATAGTTGATGTTTAACCATTTCAAGAGGTAGCATAAGATCAAGAGGCAATGATACCAAAGGAAGAAGTTCAAGGTGCATTGAAGGAATTGGCAAAGAGCAAGACGCCAGGAATTGATGGAATACAAATAGAAATCTTTCAACAAAGTGACACGGCACTCCAAGCACAGAGTGGCTAGTGGGCTCGAAAAATTGATCTTGTGGTTCACAGTACATGCTTATCCTATGTAGCCATTGTGCTCCCTATAGGCAAAAAGTAGAAACTTAAAGGCCCATCAACAGATGAATGGGTGAACAAAATGTGGTGCATGCAAACAATGGAATATCACTCATCTATGCACATATGCATCCACACACATCCACATATACACACATTCTACTCTGCTTCCTATAGTCATTAAATATGTATCTCTGTTCATGTACATACCTACCCTCAGAGTAGTTTCCTTCCAAGGTTGTATATATATCACTATTAACTCTATCCCCTTTTGTTGTTGTTGTTGTTAAGTACCTTCAAGTTGGGTATGACTCACAGTGACCATGTGGAGGGTTTTAGAGGAGCGGCTGGTGAATTTGAACTACCAATCTTGTGGTTCAAACCAACCTTGTAGTCCAGTTCAATACCCCACATCCGCATACCTCTTTAGCTCTTGTATACCCCGTGTCTTCACCTGTCTTCATAATACTTCTGCCAACCTCCCTCTTCTTGTATATTGCTTTTCTTTTTCTTTTCTTTTACCCTGCCCATCACCTAAGATAACCCTATAACCAGTGAACGACTCTGCCCTCCCTCATACCCCTGGAAACCATTAAAGAATGTGTTGTTTTCTCTTTCAAACTCATATATTTGTGGGATATAATACCATATCTCACTCTTTTTCCCTTACCCATTCAATCTATGTCTCAACCTGTAAATCTATGCCCAGAACACTGTTGTTTCAGGGTTGTGTAGATATCACTATTTACAGCCCCTTTAGTTCATGCATATCTTCCTGTGTCTTCAGCTATCTTCATTATTCTTCTGCCAACCTCCCACTTCTTTTATATTGCCCTCCCTCTTGTATATTGCCCTCACCATCATCCAAGCTAACATGTGTCTACCCTCTAGCCAGTGAATTACTCTATCCTCCCTCCCATCACTGATAGCCATTAAAGAATGTTTCTTTGAGTCTGAAAATCTTTTCTTAAACTTTTATAATAATGGTCTCATACAATATTTGTCCTTTTGTTATTGACTAATTTCACTCAGCATAATGTCCTCTAGGTTCATTCAAGTCATGAGGTGCTTCTCAGATTCATCATTATACTTCAACATTGCACAGTATTCCGTTGTGTGTATGTACCAAAGTGTGTTTATCCATTCTTCCATTG